GAGGGTCACACACCCCACAAACACACAGCCCGGAGCCTGGACTTTCATGGCAAGTGCCAGTTCAAAACACCAAGTCACACCTCACGTCTGCCTTTCATCATCCATCAAAATAGCAAGTGGAGCCCAGCACTCCCACTTCAGCATAAGCAAAACATGTGGGAACTCGAGGCAGTTTGTAGGAAAACGTGATACAGCCTTTCTAATAAAAGCTCCCGCTCTCCTCACTATGGAAAACAGTTGCAAATGGGTTTCTGCAGCCTGAGACTCGACAGCAGGGCAACAGGGACGCTGGGCTTGGCTCTTCCCAGCCCCAGCTTCCACGGGTTCACTGCCAACCCCCCCCAGCCCCAGGAGCAGAGTGGAGCCCAGCACCATCCTGCTCCCACCAGGGCACCAGATCCTGCCCGGCCCACTCGGGGCTCCCTGACACAGGGCTGCCTGCACACAGCAACTAATTAAACCTTCAAACGGCTCCCCCACAGCACCAATTAAAGAGACAGCCCCAGCTTTCAGAGAATTTATGACTTTCAGTGCTGTTGCCACAGGTATCCAAGTTTGAGCGTTGTTTAAAGCGGGTTTCAAAGGGGATCCGGACTCGCCTCCCTCCGGGGAGAATCCATTTGCTTTGTTCACTAGACTATAACTTAAAATTTGTTACATGCACCAGCTTGTAACTCTTTGAAAAACTCCCTGCTCAGCCAGCTTCAAATGTACGTGATGAACTTCCCCCGATCAAAGCAATTCCCCCACGAGGAGCCTCAGCTCACGAGCAAGAAAGGACACAACAAATTTTGGGGGTGGGAATCACGGCACAGGCCAGGAGGGGACTCCCCCCCCAAATCCACCGGAGAGCCCAAGCCAAGGAGCTCGCTGCAGCACAAAGCAAGAAGAAAAAGGCATTTAATAGTGAATTAGCTTGCTTAAAAGGCAAAAAAAACCAAAAAACCACCCTATTTTTTAGCAGAGGTTTTATCCGTTGTCTGTGAGCAGAAGACCCCCGGGCTCCTCTTCCAACAGGACCCAATCCTGGCACCCCACACCAGGGATGTGGAGTGAGATGGTTGAACACTCTCCACATTACCCACAGGTGGAAGCGCTGCTCCAGATGTGTCACCTCGCTCAGCCACGTGCCTTGGGTTCATCCCCCTGCCCTGCAGAGCCCAAACCCCTTTGCTGAGGCAAAAAGGAGAAAGCTCAGCAGCCACAAGGCCCCAGCCCCAGCACGGCCTGACCTCGCTGCCTCCTGATGCTGCTGCTGTCCCAACACCCCTCAAAACATTTCACCTTCCAGGTGAAATCCAGCCCCAGCAGTTCCCTGCCCGAGGCAGGTCTAAGGAAGCACTGCCAGGGAGTTGGGTGCTGCTCAGATCAGTCATTTATGACCTGGGACACCGTGGAGGACACGGCTCACAAATGTTTTTGCTGCTGCAAACAACAAACAGCTCAAGGAGGGGTCGGCGGAACCGCTGCCTCGGAGGGCAGGACAAGGGGCACGACGGGCACGACGGGCTGGGTGTCCCGGCTAAAACAAAACCCCCACGACCCACGGCCCGGGCTGGAAAAGGCTGGTTGGCAGCTCCAGGCCCCGGGAGGACCAACTTCCCGCGGTGACCTGTATGTGCTATAAATGCCGCAGACACGGGCCGGGTGACGTCAGCTCCAAACTCGTGGCAATTGTTGGGTTTCTCCCTGCCAAGAAAAGGCAAAGCGGAGGTGCTGAATTGTCCGGGCGGCGGGGGAGCGAAAGCAGTTCCTCCCCGGAGCATTTGAGGACAGAAATCAGGGAAACAGTGGCAGGAGCTTAAAATAAAAGCACGGGAGGCAAATGGGAAGAGCGAAGGGATCTCGAAGCTGGAGGGTTTGGGTTAACACTTTGGATTTTTCTGGCCCGGGAGAGCAAAACAGGTTCCCCTTGGCAAAGGGGCCACTGGCAGCTTGGGCAGGGCAGTCACCAGAATCATGGAATTGCTAATCAGAACCATGGAAAAGACTCGTGAGATCATAATGTCCAACCCCACCATGGTCACCACTCAACCATGTCCCCGAGTGCCACATCCACACGTTGTTTGAACACCTCCAGGGATGGTGACTCCACCACTGCCCTGGGCAGCCTGTGCCAATGGTCAACAACCCTTCTGGTAAAGAAGTTTTGGATTTGAAAAGGATTTGAATTTGGGGTGATTTTACAGCTGGGATTCTCTTGCAGTGCTGTTTCAAATGCCTGGGCTCCCTCATTTGCCAGTCACACTTTGGAAGCAAGAACCTCATCTTGGCAAGTGGGGCATTTTGGATGGGAGTGATCAGTCAGTGCAGTGCCTTGCTCTCTTCACTCCTCACTTCCCCTGGGAAGGAAAGAGCCTTGAGGTAACAGCTCCTCTGGAGAGGAAAAATATTAAAAGCTACACACTGCTCCAGGATTTCCAGGAGAAGGAGAGAGATGGAAAGTGGGAGCCATGAATTCCCATGTCCAGCCCAAATGCCATCAACCCAACGATGGGATCCCATCCTGTGTGGACAGAGGGATAAAACACCAATTTTTCTGGCACGTAGGACAACTTCAGTTTATTATCCTGGGCCTAATACAACGAGCCCAGATGATGAGATCCTGGCACTGAGACGGGGCCCTGTGAGCACTGAGCTCAGACTTACACAAATCAGTGTTTGCTTCTCCTTTCTGGGCAGAGGTGGCTGTGGAGGGGAAATGCTGCTCTGCCTTCATTGGTGGTACAGGCCCTGACTGAGCAGGAGTGCTGGAAACACAAAGCACAATAAAGATGAAGCCTTGGCCTTCCTGCATGGCAAGACTCAGGGAGCTAATCTCCAGGTCCAGATTATGGCTTGGCTGTGAGACACTCTGCTCCCTCAGCAAGTCCAGGTCCCCAAATCCAAGGACCATCTGCTTTTCACCCTCTGACCACATCAGGGTTAGTGAAGATTCGACTTCAAATCAAATTTTGAGCTGGATGGCTGGGGATGTTTCTGGGGATGAACCACCTTTGGGGATGATCAGGGCCAGGTTGGACTGGGCTTAGAGCAACCTGGTCCAGTGGAAGGCATGGCAGGGGGTGGAACTCCGTGATTTTATGATTCTAACTAGCACCTGATTGCACCTTGCTGACTATTAGTGAATAAAGGTAGAACATCCACAAACTATGAAAACAACCACTTGCCACTATCCAGGACCTTGTTTAGACCCTTTGGATCCTTCTAACAGGCAGAGCACACCCCTGGTTGCCAGGGAAGGCCTAAATCAAACCATTACAGCATGGAACATCTCACTGATGTCTTCCTGCAGTCATTCACCCCACCAGCAAAAAGCCAAAGATTCAGGAACAGGGAGAAGCCCCAAAGCCAACATGCAAACAAAACATATCCCCTGCCCTGAGGTGAGGCCAAGGATGGCTGCCCCAGGGATAACTCTGCTGCTGGAGCAAAACCTTTCCCTGAGCTGAATTCCCACCCCAGGATGCTCATGGCAGGACGAGGGAGCCTCGGCAGAGCCCACGCCTGGGACAGCAGGGATTGTGCAACGTCCTCCAGCCCAGTTGTATAACAGCAGTGCTCTGCTTTCAGGGCTTCTCCCAGGCAGCCCCAGAGAGCAGCAGCCCAGAGGAAGGGTGGTGTCAACGTTACCTTTCACTCACCCCAAAGCAAAGCAGGGCTGGGGGGGTCAGAGGTTTGGGGTCGTTCCGGCGGCTGCCGAGCCAAGCAGGGGGGGTCCGGCTGTGCCTCTGCTCCTGGCCAGCACCACGGGCCCGGCAGCCAGGCCAGGCTCCGAGCAGGAAACACATGAATGCCATTGCTCCTCTCCCCCAGCGTGGAGCTCGTCTTTTGTGGGATTGTTTTAACAGCAAAGTCGCGCAAGGAACACTCGCCGGAGAGATCGGCTTCCATCTGGGTTAACCCCAGAGCTCTCCCCCCTCCAATTTCCTCCAGCCCACTCAACAGCTTCCCTCCCTGGAAAAGTGTTTGACGTGCAGCTGAACAGCTCAATCCCAAAGCAGCACATTTCCCTGGTCAAAGAGGGCATGAGAGCAGGGCAGGGCACAGCCCCCCATCCTGCTGCTGCAGATTCCCCAGTGCCCCACAACACTGATGCTGGGGCACCAAAGGTGCTCCCCAGAAATCTCCAGGATGGCACAGCATGGCTGTTCCACGTGGCCAGGGGTTTCCCTGGACAGCTGGAGTCAGCCCATGATAGAGAAGGTTGTTTTAACCATCCACAAGGTGTTCAGCAAGAAGGGCAAACGAAGGAACTTCCCACGTGTCAGGGGCCGTGTGAGCCCCGCACAGAACAGCCTCCTCAGGCATCAAAAATCCAGCACAGCACTGCCCAGGAATTCTCCACTTCAGCCTCAAACCCACGAGCAGCACATTGCCCATCAGACATCTGAAGCCACACACCCTGCAGAGTCCCCCATCACACACCCAGATCACCAGCCCCCTCCTCCCCAGAGCTGCCCTGCTCCCAAAGCCCTTGGATGTTGGCATCCCTGGCCCCCTCTTGGCACCCTGGAAGCATCCAGCCAGGAGGGCTTCACAAGATCCCTTTGGGAATGCCGAGATCCCACCCAGGGAGCCTCTAGAGGGACTGCAAGGAGCAGACACCCAAACTGCAGCCGAGCCCCAGGAATGAACCACCACCACCACGTCTTCAAAAAGGAACAGCAAAAGTCTTCCAGGGCAGTGCAGACATGTCTAAGCAGCTTAGAGAACAGCCCTGATTGTCTGCTCCCAGGATCCTGGAGTGGTGGGACAACAATCTCCAGCTCAGGCAGCAACTTCTTAACAGGAGACAGATCAGCAAGAGCAGCTTTGCCCACCCGGAGACACACGGGGCAACAAGAAAATCATCCAGAGGAACAGCAGTAGATCCACCACCAGAAAAACACATAACAGAACTACACCAACCCCTCCTTTGGTGTCTCTGGAACCAAACACAAATTTATTGCGAGAATCATTATGGTATTAAGGGAAAAAAAAAAGTAAGATGACAGTACCTGATCCTCCAAACTGAGTGCTCGCTAGGGTCGTGGGTCTGTTTTTTCCATTAGCCACTGGCAGGGGAAACATCTAGAAAAACAAGAAGATGAGAGAGAAGGGAAGAGAAAGAGATTTCAGTCTGTTAGTTTTACTGTGCTGCTGCAAAGGGGTCAGATTGGGGGAGGAAAGGGGGAAGAGGAGCACTTTATTGATGCAAAAAACTTCCCTCTCCTTGTGTCCCTGCTCCATGGATCAGCTGCAGGAGGGGCAGGGGAGCAGCTCTGCACTGACACACACAACCTGACACAGGGAGGGGGTCACAAAACCAAGTCAGACAGGGTTCAAGAAGCGTTTGGACAGTGCTCCCAGGCACAGGGTGTGACTCCTGGGGATGGTCCTGCACAGGGACAGCAGTTGGACTCGCTGATCCTTGTGGGGCCCTTCCAACTCAGCACACCCTGTGATTCTGTGATGCTCCCGTGTCCACAGCGTGCCTGGTTCCTTGGGTGCAACCAAAACCCAGCCCAGAAGCATCAGTGCTGTGGTCAAACCCAGCAGGTTCTTCCCTAACATGCCCACCAGGGCCCTCCCTGCAGGTGCCCCATTCACAGAAACCCGGCGCAAAAACGCCCCTGCAGCACCCTGAAAAGCTCATTTCACCCCTCCCCATCCCAGCTCCCACAGCACTCCGGGTCTCATCCTGTCTCCCTGGACACACACAGTGCCTGGGCAGGACGTGGGCTGCCCGTGGGTCTGGCTGGCACAGGCAGAGCTGACTCAGCCCCAGGATCCGGCGGTGCCCGAGCTCGGTNTCCGGGTCTCATCCTGTCTCCCTGGACACACACAGTGCCTGGGCAGGACGTGGGCTGCCCGTGGGTCTGGTTGGCACAGGCAGAGCTGACTCAGCCCCAGGATCCGGCAGTGCCCGAGCTCGGTGCCAGCCCCGCGGGATGAGCCCTCCAGCTCCCAGGGCAGCTCCCACCCCGCTGCTCCAGGGCCTCCAGCAGCCCCAGGACCCAACACAGCCCCGGGGGCTGGGGGGAGAAGCTACTCCAAGTGCAAAGGTTTCAAAAATGAACCTATTTTACGGTATTAGTCGCTCTGGGGACTTGTTTGCTCCGTTGCTGCAGCTTCAGTATCACAACTGAGCTTTCTCCTGCCAGGAGCTTCCTCAAAAACACCGCACACCTCGTCACCTAACCTGTATAAATATTTTTAATAAAAGTTGGGAGAGTTTCAGAAGCTGCTATTTAATAATTTACATGCACCTGCGTGCAGCAGAAAAGAAAACTAATTCTCCTCCACACAAATGGAGCTCCAGCCAATAAAACAACTGGTGGGAAAACGTTTAGTGAATTAACATTTTAATATCCTTTTTCTACTCAAGATACTTTCACCACCAAGTCATTTGAATTTTTATTATTTTTAGCTTTGTAATGTCTGAGTAACTCAAAAGTTTAATGCTTTGAAGATTAAACAATGTAATGGCACAAGAGCCTACAGAAATGCAGCGTTTCATGCCCTGACATAGCTGATGTCTGGCTGTGGTCAGAAACATTCCTTTGTGCAGAGCAGTCTGCCCAGCTTTGTTTTCACAAATGCTGGGGAGAAAAAAAAAAAAAAAAAACAACAAAAAACAAAACCAACAAAATACAGTTAAATGTGGTAGAGATGCAAAGAGAGCAGTTAAGGAACCAACTGCCATTCATAAAGAGCACAAATTTGGGATCATATATATGCATGCACGGGGTGTAGATGTTCTATATATGGATTTAAACAAAGGTGTAAACAGTGTTTAAACATCCTGGCACTGCTGCCAGCACCTGCCCACACTGGGCTGCCCAGGGACCCCCACCATGGAGGTGCCCCACGAGGGGAGCCCCTGCTGCCCACCCAAGGGGCTCCAGAGGTATTTGGGGTGGCCCGGCAGCCCCACCATCAGATGACACTTGTTTCCTCAGGAAGTTGGGCTAGAAAATAAAAACAAACCCTGACACACCGAAGGTTGCAGCCAACCTTCCTCCCTGCACTGCTGCAGGGCTTCCCTTGCAGGGCAGGGGGTGGTTTCTGCAAAGATCTCCACAACTACTGCAAATGGAATTTATGGGGCCGGTCCCATCCGGGCTGTGCTCACTCCCTGTGCTCACTCCCTCATCTCAAGGTAGGGAAGAGGATTAAGTGGTTAGGAACCCCCTTTCCAAGGGGCAGGTCTGCATGTGCAAGCACGGGGGGGAAGGGATGCACGATGAACCCGGGCACCCAAAAAAAGAAATAATAAAAAAAACCCCAACAAATGAAACCCCAAGGCACTGCTGGCTCGTGTCCATGAGCATTTCTGCTCAGCACTTGCTGAGGCTGAAAAACCCCAGGTTTGAGCACCAAACAGGAGTGGAGAAAATGAACAGCCTTGTTCCACTGTGCACCCAGAGCCTTCTGCTTCTGCAGAACAGAAGGTGGGTCCCCCCCACCCCCGGTGATCCCCAGCACACCCAGCATCCCTAAAACACCCCCACACCCCGGGGGGATGCCCTCCCCTCCTCTGCCTGCTTTCAGAGGTGTTTTGAGGCTGATGCAACACCTTCCTGCTCTCCCTCCCCAAGGGATTTAGGAGTCACAGACCCCTTCC